TCAACAAAGTGAAGATGCTAAATTTCAAAGAAAATTAAACTACGCGTTCCAAATAAGACCACCAAGACCAAACAAACCTCTTCCAGAAATACCAAAATCAAAATCATTTCCAAATCTATTAAGAAGAAAATAAATGAACCAAACCCAACTAGAAGTATTAGGAGGAATAACAACTATACTAATAATCATAGGAGGAGTGGTAATAACCTTAATAATCTGTGCAGAAAAACATCGAAAGAGACGAAATAGACAATTCCAAAATATACCTTTGGATAATCTATCGGTACCACAAGCAACAAGAACAGTGATACCAAATATTGGAGAAATCAATAAACAATTTGGAACTAAATATTAGATAGCAACGGTGATTCATATATCTGAATCAACACCAACACCAACAACTATAATCCAAACAACAGTATCATTCATAACATCAAGCGTACCAACAATTGTAACAACCTTACAACCATATCTACAAGATCCAAACGTAACCAATACCTTACTTGGAGAAGGAATATTCATAGTACTAATCAGAATAGTATCCGCAATAATAATATTTTGCGTATGAAATAAAAGACTACAATTACTAAAACACGACTTCGATAAGAAAAATGAAGATTTAGCAAGACAGTTAGAAGCTACCATCAGTACTATATGAACCGATATATTCGAAAAGAACCTTACAAAGGAATAGTAACTAAATTACTTGAAGAACCAGTTGAAACTAATTAACAAGTAATAATTGAAGAAATAATACAACAACCTTCAATAAAACCAACAATATTTGAAAAATACCTATTAAATATTTGGAAAGAACAACTTTATAACAAAATGATTAATCCAACAAATCTATTCAAACTTCAAAAATTAATAGTAAAGTTACAAATAAAAGATACTAAACTCTTAAAAATATTAGGAGAAGCAATAAGAAAAGAAGAGATAGATTATACACAAGTAAATACTAATCTCATCAAAAGGGAACACTCTGAGTTTAAAATAAAAACTCTAAAAAACATAAAAAGAGAAACACATCAACAACTAAATGTTCAACAAAGTAGTGGGAAACGAAGTAATCTTTAACACATTTCAAGCCTTCTTTATCAAGAAATTTCAAGGATTAGGACACAATGAAAATAATCAGATCAAGAGAAGAATAAACGAATTATATTCAAAACTTCAACGGTTAGGACAACAAGAAACAACACAAAGAACAATACAAGAAGAAATAACCATATTTGAAAAAGATCTGTTTCCATTTAGTGAAACAGGATACAGAGAAAGACAAATACGAGTACCAAGAGAAACAATACAAAACCAAATAATAACTCTAACAGAAGAGGAAGTAGCAACATTAATTATATACTGTTGGCATACAAACGATATATCAAAATATAATTACACAATAGATCAATTGGGTAGATCACTACAAATAATCGAAAGACTAATACAAGTAGCACAACTGAGATAATAAAAAATGGCAGTACAATTAAAATTCCCAGGTTTGAAAATATTAGCAACAAACCTACCAATATTTTCTGGCAGGCCAGAAGAATATGTGGAATGGAGAAACTCATTAGAAAATATCTTTAATATAATGAACATAGGACAAACAGTAGCAGTATTCAGAAGATACATGGGAAATGAGGAAGAAGGATGGACCAGGGTAGCATCAGCAGATGACCGAAATGGAGCAGATCTACCAAGATCAAAAGCACATTTCAATATAGAATATTTTAACAGGATGAAAGCAGTAATCTTTACCAAATTAATAGGACCCGCTAAAGCATTATTCCAAGCAAATCCAACAATAAATTGCTATTATAAAATAAGAAATAGAAATATTGTAGGACTAAAAGATCAAACTAATTACCCGATAGCAATAGCAACCGATTATACCATTGATGATTGGCACGCCACAGCATTAGGGCGAGGAGGACTAACATACCAATCACCACAGGTATCATTCAGAGAAGTATTCGATAACGAATACATTACTGACGATATACGATTCGAAAACCAAATGAACTTCAAAAGAAAAAGATTCATACCAGACTATTCTAAAGAAAATTCATTTATGATATTTAGAGATGAATGGGAAAGAGCAAAAGAACTTGCGAATTATCAATTTAGTAATATATTTCTGGCAGCAGAATATCAATTCTTATTAGAGTTAATGCTAGCAGATTATCAAAGTCACATCATGACTGCACCAACACAACCAACAAACAGAGCCGAATTCTGGACTATGTACAAAAACTATTTCAATGCACAAAGGAATCTAAATCAAATGAAAAATAAAATAGTACCAAGGGTAAACAACTTCAGAAAAACAAAAATTAATAATTTTATCAACAATAACACAACTGATAATTCTGAAAAAAGAGACATGTCAACAGTAGAATGCTTTAGATGTCACCAAAAGGGACACTACGCAAAATACTGTAGAAATGCAAAAAGAGAATCATTCAATAAATTTCAACCCAGAGGAAATCAGAGAAGACCACCTCAAAGATTCCAAAAGGGAAAAACAAATCAAAGATTTGTAAAAAGAGGATTCAACCAAAATAGACAAAACAAAGGAAATTACGGAAAACCACAAAATCGACCTTGTCAATATTGTAAATATACTAGAGGACACAGAAACTCATGTCCGAAGAGAAATGGGACCTACCACAACGGGAAGAGATCGAACAATATGCAACATAACTTCCGAAACAAAAAAGTAAATAATTTCAAACCAAAGGAAACAAGAGAAACCAAAAAGGATACTAACAATGAAAGGAAACCAAAAGTAAACTTCAGAAAGAAATTAAACCATTATCAAGAAGAAGATGAGGAACAGGAATATTACTCTTCTCAAGAAGAAGAGGAAGAACCACAACCCTCTACCTCTAAAAGACCAAATGGTGAAAGAAGTAAAAAATATCATTCTTTCTATTAGGAGGCCTGCCTAGTGTTCAGGACCAACCTCCATATAATGAACAATATGGTTACACTAGAGAATGTATAAATATGTATCACATAGCAAATATCAATAATCTTAAATATATTAATCCAAACTTATTAAATAAAGGATCATATTTAAATAACCAATACACCATACGTTCTGCCAAAGAAAATTTATCAAATAAAATGAAAAAGAAAGCATCGAAAGATCCCAACTACCAATATCTACTCAAAGATTATAAATTTGAAAAAATCCACAAATAGTCCCTAATGAACCAAAGGGAAAGAAAGCATACTACTTTGTAGCATTATTAAATAATCTACCTATTAAAGTCCTACTCAATGAAGGAGCAAGTGCCAATGTTATAGGATTAGACCTAGCACAAGAATACGGATTACTCAAACTATTAAAGAACCACCTACCAGGATAGCACAATTACCTGGAGAAAAAGTAATCAAAAACTACAGAAAGATTATGGTACCTTTCCAAGTAGACGGATATAAAGAAAACCTTAAAATAACAATCATTGAAGGGAACCAAGCATACCTCCTACTCTCTGAAATCGACCAGGCAAGGTTAAACATATCCAAAGACCGAAAACAACGTATCATCCTCATACATGGTAAACCAATAAACTACCAAGATATTGATAAAAATCATCAAATTCCCAAGGGGTTTAGGCATTATGATCAAGTCTCTATTCGTAATGACCTAGTTTCTCCAGTACTCCTCCGAACCTTGAGAACATATAAGTCCAAGATAGCCAAATATCTCGAAAAACGGGATACCCTCAAAAATCGGAAAAAACTGGTAGAAAGGCGCCCAACGTGTCAACAAATACACGAACCCTCACTTCTAACCAATCAGGAATAATGCTACAAAACACTGGTCGCCAGGGAATAATACTACAAAAGGCGCCCAGTACCCAAAAATGGGTTGAACAAGAATATCATAATTCCAAATACAAAAAATTAATTAATGAATTAATACCTTATTCATTTAATGAACAACTTAACTTGTTAAGGAAAAAACAAGTAGAAAGAAATAAACAAAGAAATAAATTAATAGGAATTACCTGTGACGGTAGATGGTCAGAAATAGTAAAAACTGCTTTAGCTACAGACTCTAACATCCTTCAAATCTTCCTAACATATAAAGAATTAAATGGGCAATTCAAAAATGAGCAAGAAAAAAGATACGCTGAATTACAAAATGGTGAACCTGGTAAAACAGAAGACAATAATATTATAATGGGCAATAAAAATATTAGGCTAAAAATGGTACTACATATTACACTAGGTTTGTATATTAATCAACCATTGTATGGGCACAATAGAAAAAGAAATTGGAAAATAAATAGAATATTACAAGAGCTTGCAAGAGCGCAAGAAATGAATATTAGATGGGCTGTAATACATATAGGTACCTGGCTGGAGATAAGAAACAATTAGACGTGATCAATAACATTAATGAAATATTACACGTAATAAACAAAAACCGATGGGATATCGGATTACTATTGGAAAACTCAGCCAGCAATAATTGCTTTGGTGCAACCATTCCAGACCTCATGAATATAGTGAATAGTATAAGTCAAGAGTTAAGATATAAAGATAAGGCAAGACTAAAAAGCGAATAGGCATATGCTTCGATACGCAGCACTGGTATGCTGCAGGGCAAGGCAAGAGAATCGATGAATATCGAAACGTACTAAGAATATATGGACAAGAAATCATGTTAGTATACATAAACAACAGCCCGCCGGAAGTGATATTCGGCAGAGGAATGGATAAACATGAGCACCTATTGGATCCACAAGCAAGTATACAACAAGAGGTATACCAAATGATTATACAGCATAAAGAGGTCTATGCTGCAGTACTAGAGACACCGTCAAATGAAATAGCTAATCAAATAGCGCAAATACATGAAATCTCTAAATTAAGAGAATGGGCAGGAGATACGTTTCAAGAAGAAACACTTCAAGAAGAATGGTCTAAAAGAAAAGATCAGGAATTAAAAGAATATAAAAATCAATACAATGAAGGAATAGGATCATCGGGAATGATAATTCCATTGGGAATGGAATTCGAAGATTCTGAAGTAACACTACTCGCAGAACAATTACAACAAATAACAGTTGCAGCGGAACATGAAACACCACAGAATAAACAAGAAAAGAAATTAAATCAAATCTATATAGAAGAAGCACAAAGAGAAATAGATCAATTTAGAAAACAAGTAATTGAAAAGGATAATACTAAAAAGAAAGGAAAAGGAAAGGCAAAAAGCCTAAATATAACTTTTAACCAACAAGAAAGCAAAGTCAAATCACCCAAAATGAGAATATTTATTAAAACACAGTTGTCACAACTAGATAGGATCCTACAACTTGAAAAAGAACAAGAAGATCCAAGAATCAGAGCGGGATTAAAACAACTAAAACAACGATTAGAAAGTATGGAAACAAATTATAAATACGTTTTCCAATTAACAAAAGAACAAACTAACGAACACATCCAGGAAATTGAGAAAGTCACAAATAGAAAAATATTAGAAGCCGAAACAGCAGAAGACAAAAAAGCTTATCTATACAAAACAATATCTGCATTAACAGAAACAAAAGATGCTATACTTTGGAAAAATAGAGATCTAGTAAAAGATTTAGAAGAAGAATATGGGTATGCTACCAATCAAGCATTAGCCCTAGATAGAAAAGATTTCAAAGCCATGGAAGAATACGAGCAACGAATTTTAATAGAAAGACTTGCTAGGCAAATGGAATTAAGCGGAAGCGAACCATTACGACAACAACTACAAGCAAAATATAGAGAATTATTGGGAGTATCATTAGAAAATCTAGATAAAATGCATGATGTAGAAGACGAGGAGGAACAAATATTCCAAAAACAAATACAGGTCAGAAGAAAAGGCTTAGAATTACCAGAAACATTACCATTAAAAAATCCATATCACAAAGAATACAGA